TTATATCGGATATTTAAAGTATCTATGATGTCCAGACAACAGTGTTGAAGATCGTTATATCGGATATTTAAAGTATCTATGATGTCCAGACAACAGTGTTGAAGATCGTTATATCGGATATTTAAAGTATCTATGATGTCCAGACAACAGTGTTGACGTTCGTTGTATCAGATATTTAAAGTATGTATGATGTCAAGTCAACAGTGTTAAGGATCTTTATATCGGATATTTAAAGTATCTATGATGTCTAGACAACAATGTTGAAGATGGTTATATCGGATATTTAAAGTATCTATGATGTGAAGTCAACAGTGTTGAAGATGGTTATATCAGATATTTAAAGTATCTATGATGTCAAGTCAACAGTGTTAAGGATCTTTATATCGGATATTTAAAGTATCTATGATGTCAAGTCAACAGTGTTAAGGATCTTTATATCGGATATTTAAAGTATCTATGATGTCCAGACAACAGTGTTGAAGATCGTTGTATCAGATATTTAAAGTATCTATGATGTCCAGACAACAGTGTTGAATATCGTTGTATCAGATATTTAAAGTATCTATGATGTCAAGTCAACAGGCTTGAAGATCTTTATGTCAGATAATTAAAGTATCTATGATGTCAAGTCAACAGTGTTGAAGATCTTTATATCAGATATTTAAAGTATCTATTATGTCCAGTCAACAGTGTTGAATATCTTTTTATCAAATATCTAAATTATTGTTGTTGTTAATTAATGCCTTTTTTCACCCGCGTAAAACAAAATTATTTAGATTTTAGGGAGAGAACAGGAAATGATTTTATAATTATTTCTCCTTGAAACATAAGTAACGCACTGTTTAGTCTTATTTTTTGTGTTTTTGTTAGAGTATTATAATTTTAGGAATATATTTTTTTGTCGATAATTATAAGCATCTATATTAACTATTGGTTTTGGTTAAGGATAAAAAGTAAGATATGTGCGTGTGTGCTGTTATTGGTTTACGAATATATCCGTTTGTTTCTGTTGAAAGTTTGTCTTCTATGCTTTAGATTCAGCAGTGATAGAACTTTTGCCATCTGTATTTTTTGTAACTGTATTTAAGTTCCTCCTCATAATTGCGTTTCGTTTATCTGATATTAAGTATGAAAGATACAAGATCTTTTTTTATTATTTAATCACCATCAAATTAATATCTCTTTAGTTACTATTGTCTAATTTTTTTGCATGTTTGATATTTTCGTAAAATTATTTGTTAGTTATTAATAAGAGCTACTAGAAAAACTTTAACTCTTGGTTAAAAAGGTTTTTATTTACCGACCGATAAGCAGAACGTCGCGTTTCATCATAATTATATTTCTTCGTACGTAATGTGCTTCAACTTTTCTTGATTCTACCCGTCCTTCAAAGATTAGAAACCGTTATTGACAATAAAGGCAGACTACAGTGTTCACTGGAGCAAGAAATTCTGTCTTAATTTGTAATTTTACGCCTTTTTAGATGAAAATATTTCCTTTATCATAGTTATAATTAATAGGGCTATGATTACCATGGATATAATTACTATAGTTATAATTAATAGGGCTATGATTACCATGGATATAATTACTATAGTTATAATTAATAGGGCTATGATTACCATGGATATAATTACTATAGTTATAATTAATAGGGCTATGATTACCATGGATATAATTATATAGTTATAATTAATAGGGCTATGATTACCATGGATATAATTACCATAGTTATAATTACCAGAACTATGATATCAAGAGATATAATTATCATAGTTATAATAACCAGAACTATGATATCAAGAGATATAATTATCATAGTTATAATAACCAGAACTATAATATCCCGAGCTATAATTATCATAGTTATAATTAATAGGGCTATGATTACCATGTATATAATTACCATAGTTATAATTAATAGGACTATGATTGTCATACTTATATTTAATATAGTTATGACGCTGAATGGTATGTAGTGTAACAAAACTTCTGGTTTAATATGGATGGTGGGTGAATCGCAGATGACCAGCACATTTCGTAGCTTAAAAACAAGTAAAGAATGTGACGCAGAAAGTTAAACAGTTTTAACTTAGAGTGACTTCTAATTACGGATTTCAGTATGCTGCCATCACTAAGAATGTCTGTTTATTAATGTTTTCATTCACTGCCACAACATCCAATAGGAACGTCTGTTTATTAAGTTAAGGTTTAAACACTCTGCCACAACAACCTATAAGAATGTCTGTTTATTATATATTGTTTTCATTCGCTGCCACAACAACCAATAATAATGCCTTATTAATATAGGGTTTAAACACGGGGCTACAAGCTACAACATCAAATAAGAATGGCTATTAATTAATGTATTGTTTTTCATTCGCTGCCACACCAACCAATAATAATGTCTGCTTATTAATATAAGGTTTAAACACGGGTTTACAAGCTACAACACCCACTAAGAATGCCTATTAATTAATGTATTATTTTCATTCGCTGCCACAACAACCAATAATAATGCCTGCTTATTAATATAGGGTTTAAATACGGGGCTACAACCTACAACACCCATTAAGAATGCCTATTAATTAATGTATTGTTTTCATTCGCTGCCACAACAACCAATAATAATGCTTGCTTATTAATATAGGGTTTAAATACGGGGCTACAACCTACAACACCCATTAAGAATGCCTATTAATTAATGTATTATTTTCATTCGCTGCCACAACAACCAATAAGTATGCAGTTATTAATGTAGGATTTCAAATTGCTGCCACTACAACTAATACGAACATTTGTTTGTTAATGTAGGGTATTCATACGTTGCCACAACTTCCAATAAGAACATTTAAATATCTGTTTGTTAATGTAGGATATTCAATAAGAAGGCCTATTGATTAATGTACGATATTCATACAACAATCAAGATATAATACTTAACAAGAGTTCAGGTAATGATATTTGAAGTAGTGAAATATGATAAGAATTGGGGTATTTTAGTTAGTGGAACTTAATCACTGCTGAAAACTGATCAAATGGAACGCTAGTATTTAGGTGCCACGTTGTATTTTGTTTTATGTAAGAGGATGAAACGTATATAATATTATATAGCTAAATGTTGAATAAAACTGTTTCTGTGATTATTGAAATGGTTTAATATTAATCTAACGAAACGAATTTCATTACGGGGAAGTTTCTTTGCCTTCGAATTCACGTGTCACGAGAGTTTTCTGGCTATTTACTTAACTGCACGAGCTACTTCTTTTCCGTTGTTATTTACAATAATATTCCACTTTAGTCACATGTGCGCCTGTTGTATCAGTAGTGTGAAATATGGCATTTATCACACAAATCCATTTGGAAATATTCACTAAAGTTCACTATTACTAGGAAGAAGGTATTACTGGAAAAGTAACTTACATAAAACTTGGTTACAGAAAATGAAGCCCAAACTGCTTCGTTTACAACGATTTTCGTGCCTTTCAATCTGTAAAATCCTGTGTACATATTACTTGATATGTGCTTACTGAATATCACACACACAAAATAAAGTCAGTACTAATACATATTCAGACTAGTGTGATGATACAGTAACATTGCCCTCACATTATGATTTGGTAAAACGAAACATTTCTTGCTGAATCTGAATGAAATATTATTTATTATTTCATCAGA